CTATGTTTGAGAGATCACCCATCATCTCTTTATCCACAGACCTTCCAAAGAATCTGGTCTTCTGAATAATTTATTTCTGTTTACCCCGAGTTATATTTATTTCAGCTATATATTTATAGTCGTTTATGGCTGATATGGGGAGGTTCCTGCCGCAGTCAGATGAGGCATCCTTGGATCTGTTGGTTGCCATGGTAGTTCAACCACATTAAGTCAGCTGTAGCAAACCAGGTGCAGCAGAGGAATGCTGACACATAAGTGAGTGGGAGCAGATGATGGACATCTGCATTAAAACAACTCTCTGGCCCCAGGGAACTTAGAGCTTGCCGGTGCCATTTCCTAAAACCAAGCTCTCTGCGGATATCAGCTCATCGTCTTTCTTTTCCTTGAGGCACTCTTGATTAAACATTTCAAAAATAAACACAAAGTCATTTTCTCTGGACATAAATATATTAGGATTCTACGTTTTCTTGGCTTGGGTAGTTCTGTAAAACTAAATGTGTGGACCTTAATGATACATTATGCAAATCTAAGGAAACAAATCATGCCACAGTTTGCTTGTCATTTATTTCATAAATAAACTAACTTAATATATGAAGTGCCAGTGTGTGTGTGTGAACAAGTAATCTATGCAGCACAATATATCATCTAGGAAATTACAAAGAACCCGAGAACACAACAATGAATAAAAATGGAGGAAGTTATGCCTCTTTAACAACACCAGTGTTCATCTTAAATTTGCCAACAGGTTACAGGATGACCTTCCATGCTTCTGAAGAATGTTCTAAGTAGATGAGTAGACATGGAACTTCTTGCATTAGATAGTAAAAGGTAAAGGTTTCCCTGTTCTGTCGTGTCTGACTGTAGGACACAGTACTCCATCTCCGTTTTTTGGCTGAGGAAGCTTGCATTATCCAAATACATTTTCCATGGTCATGTGGCCAGCATGGCTATATGCCAAAGGGCATGGAACACTGTTACCTTCCCACCGAAGTGGTACCTATTTATCTACTTGCATTTGCACACTTTTGAACTACTAGGTGAACAGGAACTAGAGCGAGGAACGGGAGTTCACCCTACCACCACCACCACCACCCCGTTGCAGTGTTTGGGTCTCAAACTTGAGCTGTCAGCTTTCTGGCTGACAAGCTCAGCATCTTCAACCATTGAGCCATTGCGCCCCTCTGTATTAGATAATATCCTTGCCCAAATCAAGCAATGCCTTCCACAAGTAAGAATATCATATTATTAAGCATGGAGGTGGCAGTGCCATGACTATGGAATATTTTGTGTAATATTAGGGAGAATATTAGTCTTCTGATTGTCAACTGAACTGAAGCTCAAATAGGTCATTCAACAAGATAACAATTTTAGAAAGTCTAGAATGGGGAGAAAAAAACCAAATTTGATTTGGGTTTGCAAAGTCAATCCATATTTAACTCCCATAGAAGTGTCGTGTCAGAACCAGAAACAAGCAATTCATGCCAGATAAACACCCAAAGATTACTAAATTGTAACTTGTTGCAGTTCTCCATGGAGGAATGGATCAGAATTCCTAAAAAAATAAAAGAATGATCACTAATGACAGGAAGTTTGTGGTTGTAATGATTCCAACTAAAAGTGGTGTCACCATTTCTGAATCTAAGAGAGTGATTATTTTACACTGACACATCTCATGCTACATGATTTTGTTCATGAAATAGATGAAACCAGCCTCAGATATCTGTATTATTTATTAACCCAGACTGCTTTTATCTATCTGTAGGAGTTATATAGATAATAATCGTGTTATCAACCAGAAAGGAAAGAATTTGGAAAATCTGACAGATTTTGAATACTTTTTCCACAAAACTAATACCTATATTGCTTCTTGCTGACTGAATAAGATAGCTTCCAGTTAAACCATTTCTCAAAATGCCCTTTTTTAATCTGCAAAAGTGGAGGGGAAAAAACTTAATTTAATTGGTCTTTTTTCCAGAAGCAAAAGTTAGACAAATATCTATGATTCCTGAGCCTAAAGCATTACACTCATTCCAGGCCCACAATCTTCATTGAGTAATTTCATCTGCTGCCAAGATCTAGTTACTGTAATTATTTAAAACAATCAACTAAATTGACTTGAAAGGAATGACATGGCAAGAGACTTAAGAACAAACTAACTTGACGATATAAAATGACAAAAGAATGGGAAAGGTATGTTGTGTTATTATTAATGATAAACTCTCTCCAAGACAAGAATTTCTATTGAGTTCTCTGCAACCATTTTGAGATTTCTCTAAATGAAACATTTCTTACTTAAGTGTTTCTTCATAGTATCTAATAATTCATAGAACTATTTTAGGCCCTTTTGGGTATAATTTTTCTGATATTATGAAAAGGGGGCAAAAACAGTGCTTGCTTAGTTGCAGAGAGGGAGGTAAATCTGAAAAATACCCCCTCATAGGTAAATACAGAATACACATACAAGTCTTTCTGATACTGATTTAGCCCCAAATCTTATATTTTTGTGTTGCCTCAGAACCACCACAATGTTTTAGTTAAGCTTCAGCAAAAGCTATTTCTTTTCAAGTACTTCAAAGTGGGACATTTTTAACTTGTCCTATGATACTTTAGTTACAACATCCCAAAATAACACATTCATGCTGCTTTGGAAGTGGGTCATAGTGTTCTGTTAAGTTTGAAACACTTTGAATTAGAAGTTATCACCTTTTTAATGCCTTATTTTTGGAGCAAGGTGCAAGGGGAAGGAGAGTACAATTCTGTGCATCTCTACTCAGGAAACTCACTTTCAATGGAATTGACTTTTGAGGGACTGAGAAAGATTGCGGTTCAGATTCTTGCTTTCATAGCTCCTGAGGCTACAGATTTTCAGATCATCAGGGTTATCCTATCTTCCCCATTTACATTCCTAGAAAAACACTGGTGTCATGGGGAGAGAGGTGAGTGCAAAGAGACAAAAACCAAGGCTAGCAATTTATGATGGCAGCACTTAGGTCATATATGAAGTAAAATAAAACTACAATTTAATAAAATAAAACTTCCAATCAAAACTAAAAGCAACTTTCTTAAATAGGAAGATTGAGTTTATTCTTGCATAACTTCTGAAGCATGGCTTTTGTTTTTGAGAGGGATGCTCTTGTTTTTCATTCCGCATTTACTATTTTTAAGTACTTGCTCTAAATGTAGTAGAATCTGGTTTGCAATGGTAGAATGGTAGAAGTGGAATCAATATGGATATAGACTTCTCAATTCCTTTTGCTCATTGATCCACAATTGAGGGAGAGGTTGCATTGAAATTTTTATTTCCAAAGAATTGTCAAAAGAAACAAAAAAATTCCTTTGGTTCTACTGAGTTTACTAGCTATCAGCTTACCATTTATGTGTTGATGAATTTCACTAAAATGTATACGTTTGCAGGCATTCCAAAGACTACTAATTTACTACTAAATGCCCTGTTGTCAAGATACCAAAAAAATCCAGAAATATTTCCAAAGGAAATTGAAGTCAGATATCAGCATCTGATAAATATTTTTCAGATATTCAGTAAGTCGGGTTATTGTACTTTCCAGAAATGAGACTTTACCCCATTTTAATTGTGTTAGAAACCCAATCCACAAAATACATTAAGTGAGCTTTAATCAAACCTCTGTCATGAAGATCTTAGACATAAGTCAAGATTTCAGTAGATATATCTAAACATTTAATAAAATAGATACAAAAATCATTTCAAAACAGTGTTCTGTAACACAGATAGCTGATCTCATGCTATGGTTGGCAGTTCACAACATGTTTATGCTTTTGCTAAAACAAGGAGGCAATACAAAACCATTTTAGGGACAATTTTTAAAAAAGAAAATATTGCAGTTCCCTTCTCTTCTCTACCAAGTTGTTCGCCCCAGTTGCAACTCCCAGTTGGAGACTCCCTTAACCTTGAAGTACCGATTTCTGAGGATTTGATGAATTTATCTTCCTCTCCCAAATCTCTTTTTTGCAGTCATGACACATAACAGCATTGAGACTTTTACCTAATACTGGAAGAGTCCAGTTATTCTGCATAAAGCAGCAAATTATGTTCAATTTACTGTCAATAAGCTTTCTATGGAACGAGAAGGAGGGGCCATGTTTGATGCCTGCATGCTAACATATTAGAAAAGATCAGCTGCTTTTCTCATGTCCTCGGTCATTGCTCCCTTGACACAACATCTCTTGCAGTATCTCCACTTCCCAGCCTTCCCCTATCTCAGCAAACAGTTGAAAGAGCACAATGCAGAAAGAAATTGCTTCACCCAACAGCTGATGCCGTGAACATTGATGACTAAGCAACACTCTTTCTACATTCCAAGGAACTCAACCCCACATTCTTGATCCCATTGGAATGTTGTTACTCATCCTAGGCTTAATTGTATCTGAATGATAACTGTTGCTTTGTTTGGGAGTCTCAAGGACCTGGGTCTTTGCAAAATTTCTTCTTATCCTAGGGCTGCCAGTCCTTTGCACGTCATCGTTTGAGTTATGTATGTTAAGAAGATCGCGAGTATATGTTGGGTCTAGAGTTTTAGCAGCATAATTTTAGGTGGATTTACTTAGAAGGAAGTCCCACTGAAATCAGTGGAATCTAATCCCAGATAAGCACATTGAGAATTGCAAGCATTAAAGTTTCAGATTAGAACAAGGACTCAGATTAGAACAAAGATTTGTCAAGGACTAGAACAATCAATATTTATAACTTGTAAATACAGTTGGGGAGTTAGAAGGGATGTGCCAATCTACAACTAAATTCTGATACCCTCTTTTTAAAAGTGATGGGAATATTTGGTTCATCCTGCCTCATTTACCTAAATCTCTCTTCTTCATAATCACTTATGAAAGTTGCCAGTTTGTTTTGGTGACACATCTTAAGGCATAGTGCAGCATCTTTGAATGTGCATGTTTGAGGTTTCCAATGTAGTCAAGGCATGTTCTCTTGACTTGCCTAAATTAATTTCTACTTCTTTTCTTTCTAGGTCAGTTTTCCAGATGTCGAGAAAGCTGAATGGCTCAATAAGGTGAGAAGCAATTGTAGCTCAGTTGTTCCTTCCCTGGTGAGCCATGGTTTTATGAAAATACTTACATGACTGATTTTTGTTCTGTGACAGATTCTGGCCCAGGCTTGGCCCTTCTTTGGCCAATATATGGAGAAGCTTTTGGTGGAAAATATTGCCCCAAATATACGCGCTTCTAACACCCATTTGCAGACCTTCACCTTCAGCAAGATTGACATGGGAGAAAAGGTAATTAATGGTCAGCAGAATAATTGATCAAAACATTGGGTGGAAAGTCAGGCATTATAATTGCTGTGCCCTGATTGTGTCTTGTCTGTTTCCCATTGTCAAGAGTAGTAGACATATCTGCAGAACATTGGAAAAATGAGGAAACCCCTGCAGAAGAAAATATAATCAGAAAAATATTAGACTGTGTGGAAATGGATAGGTTAACATTAAAGATAAAGGACAAAGAAGATACAGAATACTTTTTTAATTTGGGATTTATTTTATCATTGGTTAGATAATAAAGGTAGAAATTAGAAACTGGAAGAATATCATAAGTAAAAAATGTTATTACTGTTATCACTATATACTTGTAAATTGACTCAGACAATACACTGCTTATTAAGCACTTATATATGTTAAAGAAAAATGTATAAATAAAAACTAAAAGAGTAGTAGACATATCACATTAGATTCTTTTTAAGCTGTGTCAGCATCTATCAACTAAAAATAAACTTTTTGGCATGTGCCAGCAGATTCTATCCCACCTTTACAATAGTTGCATTCATAAGATATAATAAAACAACATTGTATAAAATAGGAGAGTATTATTCTGAAAAATAGTACAAACTGAATTTAAAGATGCAGAAGTATTTCAAAGGTAGAGAACTTTGTTGGAGGGCTGTGGACCACACTTAGCTTTTGAGTGGCAGGTTGGGAACTGGTCTCCAGAAAGTAGTAAGAGTTACTCCAAAGAGAGATACACCAATAAAGCCTTTTGAGTTCAATACAAAAAGCAATGAATTGGTTGCCTCCCTACACACTGAAGCATTGCAGGGGCAGCGGGAGTGAAGACTCGTATTTCCAGATCCATGTTCATTTATTTAGAAGAAATGCTGCTTTTGTTTCTAGCCCCTCAAAGTCATTGGAGTCAAAGTCCACACAGGCATGAACAAGAAGCAAATCTTGCTGGACTTAAACATTAGGTGAGTTGTAAGACTTGCTTTTGCGACTAGCTGTCAACTTTTGCTATTGGAGTGGAAAGAGAAAAATGATTGCCTTTTATGGAATGAATGGGAAATCATGATGATTAACTATATTTTGGCAGCTGGGCACACAGCACCCTCTTTCCTTGAATAAAAACACACCTTAACAGCACATTTTGTCCTGATGGAGAAAAATGAACAGCACTGCGGAGGGAAAAATTAACTCCCAGTTCTGGGACAACGCCCTTCTGGCCTATTCTCTTTCTTCCATTAAGGACAAGCTGACTTGTAGGCCCGGTCTTTTGTCGTATCTTTCTTGTTTGTTTGATTGCTGTGAGCTGCCCAGAATCATTGAAAGTCAGCTGGCATACAAGTTTAATAAATTATTATGGTTGGTTGCAGAGTCAACCAGCTGTGTAGTCTGGATTTGGTATTTTTATCCACCTATTCTTTCCAAGGACCTGGAATAGGCAGGTATTGTTTGATGTTTTTAAAGGTGTCATTATTACCATTGCTGTTGTTGTTCTTACTATTATTATTATTATTATTATTATTTAATCTTCCATTCGATTCACAATCTGGGACTGGTAAAAGCTTAACCGTTCAGGTCCTAACCATGGACCTAAGAGCTGTTAAGGTTTTGTTGTTGTTGTTATTGTTATTATTAACAACAACAGATAGTACTATTTCTCTGTGCAACAATTGTATTCCCTTTTGCTACTGGTCATGCTGGATATCTATACAGGTACTCCTAGCTGAATGAGTAATTGGGACCAGCAATTCCATTGCCCAGCCACGTGGTCAAAAGTGCTACATCTGATGACCGTGCCAACTTAATGACAACAGTGGTAGCAGTCTCCATTGCTGTGGTTAGACAAATCCCGCACAGTCACGTTGTCCCTCAGGCCTGTGATTACCATTTGTGACCTCCTGCTGGCTTTCCAATAGATTTTGCTTGTGGGAACCTGGCAGTGAAGGTTGCAAATTGAGGTCGTGTGAGCACAGGAGGCTATGGTATTGTAATTGCAGGTTGGTTGCCAAGCACCAAAATCACAATTGTGTGACTACTGGGACATTACAATGGCTACAAATACAAGGTACCATCGTAGCGTTGCCCCCACTCATTCAACACCATCCTAACTTCATAGTATAGTATGCAAACTATGTTCAGGTGTAGTTATTGTGTGTGGGGGGGGGGGGATAAAAGTAGGAAAGCACTGATAGCAGCAGCCTCTGAAAAAAGCTGCTCAGGTGGACAGAGTTGAAGGAGATACCATTCTCTAGAGCAGTGGTTTTCAAATATTTTGGCTCCAGCAACCCATTTACATTCTAAAAATTATTGGAGGTACCACAAAGAGCTTTGGGTATGAGGGTTATATCTTATCAATTTTAGAAATCAGAATTAAGAATTTTAAACTATTTAGTTGACTTCTCAAACCCCCTGAAACCCCAGACATCATTAGGCCACACTTTGAGAATCACAGCTCTTGCTCTTTTGGAGCCTTGCTCCTTCGGTTTCCGTATTGCTATTTTTCTTGATCTTTTCCTTCTGTGACAGCTACGTGGGTGATGTCCAGATTGACGTGGAAGTAAAGAAGTTTTTCTGCAAGGCAGGAGTGAAAGGCATGCAGGTAAAGTAGACTGAGATCTAAATCCTGGTCAAAATTAGCCTTTCCCCCAGGGAATTAGGAAAGATTGAGCACCAGATTGAGAAAGGCAAATCTGCAAACCTTACAGTATCTTATTTCTGGTTTTTTAAGATTAAAATAAATAGCATTCCTTCTCCGAATTTGATGTTCTCTAGAGGTTGTATAAAACATCACTAATTCCTGCCCAGGCTGATCTTGGGCAGTAGATATTTCTGAATTAGTTCTCAGTGATGGCATGTATATTTCTGAAAATAGTTTCCTCGCAGAATTCTGCCATTTGCAGAATGATGCAGGAGACTTTTTACTTTGGCAACACACTCTGTTATTACCAGCAATCCCACCTTGCCTTTCTTCCTCTTGGATTTTTTTTTTTTTTAAAAAAAACATCTCTGCCCATCTGGTGTCTTTTCACAAATCTTTGAAAGGCAGCCAACCAATTCTGGGCATTCCAGAAGGGATTCCTCAGCTGCGTTGAACTCAGTTTAGAACAGTGTTTCCCCACCTCAGCTACTTTTAAGGTATGTGAACTTCTGCCTCCAGAATTTCCCAGCCAATCCTGAGAGTTGAAGTCCACCCCTCTGAGATTGAGAAACAGTGATTTAGAGAGTGAGCGTAAAAGTGAAGCCAAATAATTTTGAGCACTGGGAGGCAAAAAGCACTGGTGATATTTCACCAATGCCATTTGCTTCAGTTTCCCACCATTGTTGAAAGGAGGTTCAAAACTTGACCTACCCTGTGACATTGTGCCCCCTCCTGTTTGTGAAAGTGAACTGAGCCTTTGTTGATATGGAAGGACTATCATCCTATGCTTGCTCCAGAACCCAGAAATTGGGAATCTCATGCTTCTCATTTCCCCTATAGCTACATGGCATGTTGCGGGTCATTCTGGAACCCCTCATTGGAGACGTCCCAATCGTAGGAGCTCTTACCCTGTTTTTCATTCGTCGGCCAGTAAGTATTCTGGCATATTCCTGGTGCTTTCCAAAACTTCCAGCAAATTGTGGATGTTATTGTTTCACACCCATCTTCAAATTGGTGACATTGGGCAGCTCACGCAGCTAAAGCAGACACAAAAACAATAAACAAAATACAAATTACAAACAACAAAAGATATAAAATTATTAAAAGCAATTAAAACCATCAAGCAACTTACAATCCGTACATCACACTCCATACAAGTATCTTGCAGATTCAACACATTGCTAGATCCCCAAGCACAATGACAAGTATATATTTCCAGATCCTTCCACAAAGGCAGTTGCGTTGAGGCCAATCTAATCTCCACCTGATGATATTCCAAAAGGCACATGCTAACTATAAAGAACAAAGAAAAAGAATAAACAAAATTATTTTAAAAAGGAAGCTCTAAACAAGAAACAAAAACATTCAGGGCATATATTCATGCATTACTAATCTATATTAATACGTTATTGATTCATCAGTTCTTGGTAACATCAATTTTGCAGTCCACTGTATAGTTGGAGCCATCTGTTTGTCTTTACAATGCTGAACAATACATTGTTTAGTTGTAAGTAAAGTATAGCAAGTCTATTTTCTTTGTCCAAATGTCAACTCCCTTATGATTGGAGTAAACTTCAAAAGAATATCGACATCTGAAAATGTTGACTCTCAAAGTTGAATTAATACAGAACATCTTTTCCCAAGTGAACAGTGTTACACTCTGTAGAAACATACAATAAAATAAAGCATTAGTGTCATTGCATCTCCAAAACCTTTTACTGAGGCCTTTTCTATATAGAAGTAATTCCTGAAATACTATTTTGTGTTGAAAAACTCATGACCTGTTGGGTCATCCTTTTAGAGATATCCCCTTATCAAATTCCCTTAATGTCTTGAAAAATGATACAATTTCGAATGCGCTGCCTTCACTGGAAAAGTCGGGATACTTTCAGAGATGCATCTGCCTTGAAAATAGCATCAGCACAGGAAATGTTTGATGACATTTGATATTATGTCATAAACTGTTTTATGACAATGTTTATGTTATAAACTATTTTATAAAATTCACCAATTTTCAATTTCTTGGGAATCATGGGTCCCAGATTTTAGACACACTCTGTAGGTTATCTCATTTGACATAACTTGGGTTCAAAAATTGTTGCCCTATGATGCACTGTTTTGCTGAGTTAAAGGTTACAGGAATGAAAACTTTATATCCCAGTAGATACACACACACACACACACACACACACACACACACAAATGACTGTTATAAAAAGTTTTAAAAATGTATTTAAGAAGCAAAATAAACAAAAAGGATTTTTAAAAACATTATAAAAAGGAAGGGCATCCAGAGTGCCAAATGTGGTTCATATCTACGTGTCTCGGTGATAATGCCAATTTCTCCCCCCCCCCCCCCAAAAAAAAAAAAAAACTTCCTACCTTGGTCAATTACACATTTGACAAAGGACAGTGTATTTTGAGTATTAAAAATAATCTGATGCTTTTTTTATGGACTCTTGACTGTACCCATTCAAATGCCATTGATTCAAGTGTTGTGGGATCAAGCAATGCTTGTGCATAAATAAAGCCATTTGTAGAAGCTGTAGGTTTACATGTAGTAGAGCTTCCTGAAAAAACAAATACTGGAAAGTTATGTGTATTTTATTAAATTCTATCATGAGAGAATCTCTCAAATAATCTGCCACAATATACAGCATTATGAAGAGATCTTTGCAATACCTTCAATTTCAATTATTTCATCGCTGTCAACTCTCTACAGTAGATTTACTACTAACTTCTACATTGCACATTTTTTTCCAGGCTCTGGACATTAATTGGACAGGAATGACCAATCTATTGGACATCCCTGGACTGAGGTAAATTTATGGTGGCCATAACTTGCTGAAAAGTTATAAGAGAATCACAAGAAGGAAATGAATATAACTGTTCTGGAAAGATCTAGGGGTGTATCGGCCAAAACTGCTTGGGAAGGCATCTTTTGTGAACCCAGGTTGCAGCTGGGGTGGAGCTAAATTTGTAAGAGGCAAGAGTAGCAAGGTAGGAAGATTTTACAGGCTGAAGGAAAAACTTAAAAAGGAACAAAATTGAGTTTATTGAAGGAGAACATTCTGAAAGCAGAAAGGCATTGAGAAATATTGGAGGAGCTTATGTTTGCATGAGGTAACTTGCTGAGAGAGCATGATTAGCAGATTATTAAGAAATAGCATGACCAGCAGGATCCGTTTTCCTCAACAGCTCACTGTCTGACACAATGATCATGGACTCCATTGCCTCTTTCTTGGTTCTCCCCAACCGCTTGCTCATCCCATTGATCCCTGATCTCCATGAAGCAGCTGAACTCCGTTGCCCAGTCCCCAGGGTAAGGCAAAATTACTGGTGAGATGAATGTTACTGCTTGGTGAGTTAGAGTTGTAGACATGATCTACTTCCTCCCTTCCAGGGCATTGTCCGTGTATATCTAATGGAAGCTAAGAACGTGCAGTCCAAGGATAAGTACATTAAAGGGATGATTGAGGGCAAGTCAGATCCATATGCCATTGTGCGAGTTGGAACTCAGGTTTTCACCAGCAAAGTCATTGATGAAGACCTCAATCCCAAGTGGAATGAAATGTATGAGGTAATTATCTGCCAGATGAAGAGGTAATTTAAATATAAATGTTTCGGGATGCTACACGTCATTTCTAATCTCCCTTCTTACCTTAGCTTTTCCATTTTATGCAATGCAACTATCATTGCTTTCCTTTCTCTGTTGGAAGTAGCACTCCTATGGCCTACACTAGGGGTCTGCAACCAGTGGTTCTGGAGCCACATGTGGCTCTTTTGGCTCTCTGCTGCGGCTCCCTGTCGGCTGATCCCACCACTGGCTGGCCCTTCCCCTCCCCATCACTCCTCATCTGGCCTGAGAAAGTAAGGGTGATGGCAGGGGATGGAGACTCACTCCATATTCCAGAGCAGGAGGTGACTGGGTGGAAGTGAGTGATGTTGAGTTGGCCACACCCTCCCAGTCACACCAGTTGTTAAATTATTGGCTCCCGGTGTTTTCTTTTCTTTGGGAAATGGGTCCAAATGGCTCTTTGAGTGTTTAAGGTTGCAGACCCCTGGCCTACACCATTAGTGGTATCTGCTCTGACTGCCCACCTCACTGTCCCTACAGTTCATTGTACACGAGGTGCCAGGGCAGGAACTGGAGGTGGAGCTGTTTGACAAAGACCCCGATCAGGATGACTTCTTAGGCAGGTGAGAAGCTGGGGCTTTTGGTTTCAAGTCAAGCAGGAAATTGAGACCTGGTTGAATGAGTGATGGTGGGCTGGAAACTGGAACTTCACTGCTGGAGATGATTGGGACAGTATTGAAAAAAAATAGAAATAATTAAAAATCCTGGCTAAAAATCGGCAGCTTCAACCCCAGCTCAAGAAGTTAAATATACGAGGTCTGCATAAATCTGACTGCATCTTGGATTATTCCTTAAAATCCTAGAATTGGTGGATATGCCTTTATCAGCATCTTCTTTCTTTTCTCAGGATGAAGCTGGACTTTGGGGAGGTGTTCAGGGCTCGTGTGTTAGAGGAGGTGAGCACTGAGGAGGGAAGATGGCTGATTCATACCTAGAACCAACCATAGAGTGGTTAAACCCAACTGCAAGGGTGCAGTCAGGAATAGACAATCTTCAGCTAAATGAAAACAAGGGGGACCATAAAGGCTCTTGGGAGTGGGGCAGAGAATAGGATGGTAGAGAGATTTTAAAAGTGTCATAGAACCTTTGTATGTCTGTGTAACAACTTGCATACCTTACAAAAGCAAAAGGGTACAGTTTGAGGGTCCAGAACTATAAACAGCCACAAAACCCTCTTCTAATGTTGCTACCAATTTGTAATTTTAATAGGAGGAAACTCATAACTAAAGAGGGGGTATATTCCAATTAACTGAATTGATTTCATTTAAAGCAAAATTAGCTTTTGTCTTTGCCCCATCTATAGAGTGTAACTGTACTACATCACCCAAGATCAGAATTTGGTTTTCAGCCCCACCCCTCAAAAAATTATGCACCCTGCATTATAGGAATAAATCTCTGTTGTTTAATATTAAGAGCTTTCCTATCCATAAAGAATTTCTAATTTCCTTTCTGTTTGCTTTCCTAACAGTGGTTCCCACTACAAGATGGGGGCCAGGCTCGTGTGCATTTACGTCTGGAATGGCATACACTCATGTCAGATGTTTCCAAGTTGGATCAGGTGAGTGCAAACATTTAGAGAAGAAACATACTGCTTAGGGGTGTCTCTAGAGGTGGCAGCATCTGAGTTGTTCCTCTTCATAAAAATAAGAAGAGTATGCCAAGCTATTGCTTACCCTGATGGACAAAGGACTCCAGAGTCTTGGTTTTTCCTATCTAATTACTTGAATTTCATTTTACTTGGAGAAGCCAAAGATTGGTGAGTCCCAAAACTTTAAATTAGACTTTTAGAGGAACCTTTCTTAGAGAAATATACACATTATGAGAACTAGATAGGATTCTGGGTTAAATTTGGACCATGAGTTGTAAATTGACATATATTTTTATTATTTCCACAAGGCAAGCAGGGTTCTGTGGTTTGGAAGGCATGGGAAACTAACTAGGGGGTTGGGGGAATAATCTCCGAAGAATGCTTTGATATAAACTGATGTGAAGATAAGCATAACTTTAGAAGAAAGTTTAAAATGAAAAATGGCTTGTAAACATTTTCTCTTGTTAAGATGATATTGAGAGCCACAATTGGATCTCTCTGGTGAGATGGGTGATATACTATAGGACAAGAGTGTCAAACTCACAGCCTGTGGCCCGAATGCATCATGCGCTAGCCATGGCCACATCCAGTTTAGCAAAGGGGGGGGGAAGTCACAGTAAGTCATGTGATGATGTCGTGACAACACGAGTTTGATATTCCTGCTATAGGATATACCCTGTTTCTCCAACAATACGGCCTCCCCCAATAGGAAGTCCCAGCATGTTTTATAGGCATGAAATGAAATTAAGCCCCTCCCCCCAAATTAAGGCCTATATTAAAACATGCGAAATAATGGGGGGGATGGTGGGGGGGCTTGCTGTTAGGAAGTACTTTTGTTGCACACCCGGATATGGTGCTGCCTGCGTTGACCCCGATACGAAGTGCCCCACCAACGCTGAGGTCAACATCCAAGCTGTCGCTGCCTGCCTGCCCGAAGATGCAAAGGGGGAGAATTAAGTCACCCCCGAAAAGACAGCCTAGCCATTTTTGGGGGGCTCAAAAAAAAATAAGACCCGGCCTTATTATATGAGAAACACAGTAGATATGCTAGATGTTGTGTAAAAATTGCTACTTAATGCTGATTTATTTCTTATATGCTGTTTGAAGGTTCTTCAGTGGAACAAAACTATCTCCTCAAAGCCAGATCCTCCGTCAGCAGCCATCTTGGTGATATATTTAGAGAGAGCACAAGACTTACCAGTGAGTAGTCACAAGATAGCATCTCCTTCACAATAGGTTCTTTTATTTCACCCAAAATTACTTTTTAATATGAAATGGGGCAGAGCTTGGATGTGAGTTTGAAGTGGATAAGTTTGTCCTATCCCAAAATTGGAAACTCTGGTAATTGTAACAATGGGGAAAGCATGGGCAGTATGATGGGGCAAAGCAGCCACAAGCAAATGTCTTTTTTTTTTAAAAGCCATTTATTTTACACATGAAATTCATACATTGCCTCCATCTTGTTGGACTCTAGGTAGTTTGCAACTATTTATAATAAAAATATGATCATAATCATCCTGTTGTGACCAGAAGCTCTATTTTAGACACAGTGTTCTTCTTTCTGTGTACATGTTTTCTTTGTTTATATTATAACTGATATGTGGATTTCCACGTATCAGTTATAATATAAACAAAGAAAACATGTACATAAAATAAATACGAGATAAACTTGTAAAAGATGTTAAAGAGCTCGTTGCAATGCAACTTGCACAATGCAGCTTTGTACAGAAAACATTCTGCCATGTTGCCTAAGTTTGATCACCTTGAAAAATTTAAAGGCTGTTTCGCCTGTGCATCAGTTAGTGTAAGTAGACAAAATTAACTTCAGGGTTGATCAGCTTATTAAGGTATCCAAGATTGTGTTGAGTTGCTTCTTAAATTAAAATTCTATAAGTGAAAAATGTGGAGCTTTTTTCTTAGGTATGTTGACCTAAAATTCTGACAGACTATGTTTCTGAACACATATCCTACTTCCGGTAACTATATTCTTCATGACAACTTTTACCTCATCTCTAGTCTACTGCAGAAGCAGTTTACCTTCATCTTTAGCTGTTCTGGTTTTAAAGTTATATAAGCCTTTCACATATGCATTCTGTGACATAAAGCCTACTCACCTACTGTGTTTCCCTGAAAATAAGCCCAAGCCTGATTTTTTTTGTGTAAGCCCTACCCAAAAAATAAGCCCTAGTTAAGCCAGGGAGCGTGGCCAACAACTACTGCCTCTAAATTGTTCAACAATACTCTAAGATTCCTCCCAAGTCTTGTTTTAAGACTGGAGGAATCTACATGAAAGAAGCTGTGAGGAATGGCACATCGCAGATTGGGCATCAAAAGTGTCTGTGCTGATAGTAATCTCCTAGTTTTGCCTGTAGCATGGAATGCTATGAGATACAGATCTAAAATCCCTAAAGGCTCTTAGATTAATCCATCAGAATAGAGTTGGAAGGGACCTTGGATGTCTTTAAGCAGGAGTCTAACCTCCTACTTAAGCAGGAAACCCTATACCAGTGGTGGCTAACTTTTTCGGCTCCGGTGCCGAAAATTGCGCTCGCGTGCCTGCATGCCAGCACCCAGAAGGCAATGCGTGCTGTCCCCCCACGCCCCCTGCGCATGCGCGCGCGATCTCCTCACACACTCTGTGTGTCTGCACATGCGCGTGCATCTCCCGCACCCCCCTGGTGCATGTGCACCAGATACCAAACAATCAGCTGTCGGGCGGCACTGCGCATACGCAGTGAGGCTCTTCCGGGTGACCTCTTGCATGCCGGCAGAAGTAGCTCTGTGTGCCACTTCTGGCATGCGTGCCATAGGTTCGCCAACACGGCCCTAGACCATTTCAGATAGGTGGCTACCCAGTCTTTTCTTAAAAACCTCCAGAAATGAAGCATTTATAATTTCTGGAGGCAAGCTGTTCCATGGGTTAATTGTCCTCACTGTTAAGAAGTTTCTCCTTAATTCCAGGTTGCTTCTCTCTTTGATTTGTTTCCAACCATTGTTTCTTGTCTTGCCCTCCAGTGCTTTGGAAAATAATTTGATCCCCTCTTCTCTGTAGCAGCCCCTCAAATACTGGAGTACTGCTATCATGTAACCCCTTGTTCCTTTTTTTCTCTGGACTGGCCATACCCAATTTCTGCAATTGTTCTTCATGTTTTTGTCTCCATACCCTTAATCATCTTAATTGGTCTTTGCACATTTCCCAAAGTCTCAACATCTTTGTTGTTAATGTGATGACCAAAACTGGATGCTGTATTCCAGATGTGGTCTTACTAAGGGTTTATAAAGCGGTTACTAATACTTCACGTGATTTTTGTTTTTATGCCTGTTTATACAACCAAGAATTGTATTTTAACATTTTTAGGCTTCTATTCCTCCCAGCTTAGTGCCATCTGCAAATTTGATGAGTTTCCCTTCTATTCCCTCATCAAAGCCATCTAAGATTCTCCACTATGTCCTTCCCAGATGAATGCTATCATTTATCTCCTCTTATTTTATCCAGCTGAAAAAATCTAGTAAGGAGCCTAATCCTATGGTTCAGCTATCAATTCAGGATGTCACAAGGGAGAGCCGGGTAAGAATGTTTTTTTTTTTTCTAATTGCCTTCCATTTGTAGCCATTTGGTGTACTGCACGTGGAAATACTGGTAGCACATTGTGGATTTATAAGGTGAAAGGCATCTTGTCCCATTTCTTCCGAATTGTAACATCCCATCGAAACGGCGCCTAGGTGGAAAGGCTGGTTGTAACTTTTATCACCCATTTGGGTATCCGAATTCAGAACGGTAGCAGCTCGCTTGGAGGGCTTTAGACAAGTTTGAATTTTAGCAATGAGATTTGGGTGCCAGGTTGCTCACTCCTCTGCTTCAGGTTGTGACAGTAAAGCAAGCCAAAGAGGATGAATGAGAGCTTAGAAACTAAATCTTCTGAACATTGACAGAACTGGCAGTATTTGGCTTTGAGAAGAGTGAGGAAGGAAGGATATGATAATGCTGTTCAAAGGCCGGAAATTATGTCATACAGAATAAGATCAAGACCTCCTCTTAAATTGTAGAATGCAGGACATCAAACAAGAGTCTGAATTACATATAGGCAGATGCCAGTTGAATATTAGAAAAAAAATGCTGTTTGCCAGAAGATCTACCTTAAGTCTGTCCTATCAGTCAAAACAATGCTGTTTCTAACTATACCTAGAGAGGGCAGTAATACTCCACTGTCATTTTTCACCAAGTGCTACATTGTAATTTTCTTTTTTCTTTTTTTCTTTTTCCTTCCTTCCTTCCTTCCTTCCTTCCTTCCTTCCTTCCTTCCTTCCTTCCTTCCTTCCTTCCTTCCTTCCTTCCTTCCTTCCTTCTTTATTTCTTTCTTTCTCCATCTCTTCCTCCCTCCCTCCCTCTCTCCTTCCTTCCTTTCTTCCTTTGCCCTGCTAGGTTATCTATAACACTGTCTCCCCTGTCTGGGATGATGCCTTCCGCTTTTTCCTGCAAGACCCGAATGTTGAGGACATTGATATACAGGTAAGGTTCCTATTCTCTTTTCAAACCCATCCAGTCACTTTCAGCACAAACAGCAGCTGCAGAAATTCTTCTTTTTGACCCCATAGGTCAAGGATGACAACCGTCAGACCACTCTGGGCTCCATCACAATCCACTTGTCCCGCCTTTTAAATGCTGATAATCTGACCCTGGACCAGTGGTTCCAGCTGGAAAATTCTGGACCCAACAGCCGTATCTACATGAAACTCATTATGCGGGTAAAGAAAGCTTTGGGTTGAGGTTGGGTTAGAACTTGGGAAATGTTACAGAAGTTTCCCTTTCATCATCAGTTCTAGCTCTTTGTAAAAATGCAGTACATACACCAATTTGTGAAATCCACAAAGCATTTTATTTCAAAAAGGAGTTGGAAAAAAATGGAGAGAGCCATTGCTTCTATTCTGTTGCTGTTTTGAGTGGGAATCTCTCTTTTTTTTTTTTTAGCAATAGCAATAGCTCTTACATTTATATACCGCTTCACAGTGCTTTACAGCCCTCACTAAGCGGTTTACAGAATCAGCATATTGCCCCAACAATCTGGGTCCTCATTTTACCCACCTCAGAAGGATGGAAGGCTGAGTCAATCTTGAGCCTGGTGAGATTCAAACTGCCAAATTGCAGGCAGCCGGCAGGCAGCAGAAGTAGCCTGTAGTACTGCACTCTAACCACTGCGCCATTGTTTGTTTTGTTCTTCCCTGATTCCAATGCTTTGTCATCAAGTTTTCTTTCCCCAACATGCTACAGTGAATGAGTTCTTATGGATATTTGAAACGACGGCACATTAACCCCCCACCCCCCGTCGCTGAGATATTTTTTTTTTTTACTTCTCTCTGAGCAACATCAGGGGCCAGCAGAGAGTGTTGGGAAGAGATTCTCCTCTAAAGGTGTGAGAAATACGATTTGCAGAGATTAAAATGAACCTTCTAGCTGATTCTTAAAGCCTGGCTTTATGTGATATGGAAGAGCTAGGCCCAAATCCTCTTGTGGCTTTATCTACTGAGCATATATTTTTGTTCTTATTGTCCCCTTCACATTAGCTCAAACACATCTCTGCCAGCTGCAGAGCGAGGAAACTATGCAGATGAAATGACCTTTCTCCTTATGTAGTAAGAACAGTTTTGTTTTGGGGGGAAGATAGGGAAAATTGTGGCAATTCTTTGGAGAATCTCATCCTTTTGGTAGCACAGGAATCTTTCCCAATCACAGCTGCTTTGAAGAAAAGAAAGAAGTTTGGGAAGATCTGTCATAAATTTCTTGCATAATAATTTTTGTGGCCTTGTTCTAAGTATAAAGGGGGATCCATGCCTTGTACTGCTAGTTAAGCTTAAATACAGGTAGTCCTTGACTTAAACAGTTCATTTAGTGATTGGTCGAAGTTACAATAGCGCTAAAAAAAAGTGACTTATGGCCATTTTTCACACTTATGACCATTGCAGCATCCCCATGGTCAAGTGATTTACATTCTCAACAACTGACTCACATTTTTGATGGTTGCAGTGTCTTGGAGTCACTTGATCCCTTTTTGCGACCGTCTGACAAGCAATGTCAATGGGAAAACCAGATTCCAACCCTGTTACTAATTTGACAAATGTAGTGATTCACTTAACACCTGAGGCAAGAAAGGTCATAAAATGGGGCAAAACTCATTTAACAAATTTCTCAGCACCATAAATTTTGGGCTCAATTGTTGTAAGTTAAGAACAACCTATACTGCATTCCACAGGAATGGGCAGTATATCTAGCTATATAAGCAACCCCAGTGTTATACTTCAACATCCGATCTGACTTGATGTTTTGGTCCAACACCATCAATGACAAGTCCAAGGTTGGGCCTGGTAAGAAATGGAGTCATTTACACAAATCTGGAAGTCAGAGGCTAAATAAGATCTATTGATAGATTTATAACATTAGTTCTACAGATCAGACTTTGGTGATAAAGAGCTGGATACAAGGTCCTTAGGATTTCTCAAATGTTTAGCAGATTTGTCACTTTAGTCATGAGCTAGAATCCTGCATTGAAGATCTTTGAATATCTCTTATGTATGTCTGGAAACAAACTCCTATTTGTCTTAGTCCAGGTTTGTCTGGCTCCATGGTTCACTCGGCTGTGAGAGGCAAGAATGTCTCTTCACTAAAGGTTTCAAGCAAGGCCTGGAACTGCATTTTTCAGAACTATTTGTATTTATTTCTAATATGCATTCCTATACTAATCAGTGGCTTGGATTTGATTGTTAAAATGACTTCTTCTCATTCTATAATTTGATGTGCCCAAGTTTGGAATAGGAAGCTATAGCTAATGAGAGACAGATACTGCAACCTCATTATTGTGTTGAGGGCCAGCAGTTCCTCGGCTTCTCTTTGCCTGGGTGCGTATCCTGATTTTTCCATGGCATATAATTTCTTCAGGTATTATATCTGGATACCCCTGAAGTCTGTTTCAATACCAGACCACGCCCCCCAGGAAATCTGAATGTCACAGAAAGTCCCCATCTTGGTAGCAGTGTCGATGTGCCTTCTCGGCCCACCAAGGCCAGTCCAGATGCTACTTTTGGCACTGAGGTAAGATAAGACTACACGTTCTCCCTACCCAACCTTAATAGTCAGTCATGCCTTTTGGTAAGAGTGGGGATTTTCTAAGTGATCCCCAACCTTTTTGGCACCAGGGACTGGTTTTGTGGAAGGCAATGTTTCCATGGACCAGGCTGGGGAGGTTGGTTTCACTCACTCACCCACCACTCACCTCCCAACTGTGTGGCCTGGTTCCTAAGAGGCCACGGATCAGTAACGGTTCATGGCCTGGAGGTTGGGGACCCCTGTGTTCTAAGATGTCACTTCAAACTCAGAGGAAGACCAGATTTGGCATTCTTTATGGATGTTAATGGTCTAAACATATGTAACTTGGCGATTAAGATCAGACAGACATTGAGGAACAAGCAAATCTTCAACCTGTCAAAATGACATTTCATCTCACTTTTTAAAAAGGAGAGCATGAAATTCCCTCCTTAAGTCTTGCTATTTTTACAGAAAATGTGGACAAAGCTTTAATCATCGTAAGTTCAATTATGCTATTTATGTTGTGACCCCCTCAAAGCCTCTTCTTAACTGATCCCAAAATAACCTAACCCCAGCTGCCATGAAAACATAAATAGTTCTGCTGCTAGTAAAAATAAGAACATAAGCTTCTTGTAGTCATTTGGCTGGCACTGTGTGATCCAGCTAAAAGTCTTCTAGTCTGGCTTCCTGTTTCCTATAGTGACCAGCCAGAACTCTCCAAGAAGCCCTGAAAATAACAGCTCTCCCCAACATGGCTGCTCTCTAAACTTGTGGGCTTCAGTTCCCAGAATTCCCTTGCCAGCTTGGTTATTGCTAAGAATCCTGGGGGTTGAAGTCCGCATACCTGGAACGGCTCAGTCACATATGCAGACTGGCTATCTGTCCCTGAATATGAAAGACAATGGAGAAAGTAACTGTGCTTTGCAGTTGTCTTTTGATAGTTATGGTAGCACAAATAAGCACCCTTGTTTGTTTGTTTGTTTAACTGTGATATTAAATGAATAAATACTGTCTATCAAATTAAATTAATATTTAGATATATCAATATTTATTCACAATATGTGAATATGAGTATAAATGAAACTTAAGGTTTATATATATCAATATTTATTTATAATAGGTATTAATGAAATTATTCTAATCAAAAGTCACTTAGACAGTCACCTCACTGTCTAAGTGACTGAGAAGTATGCTAGTAAAAATCCAGCTAAAAATCCATACAAAAATAAACAAAGTTTAAAAGGCAGAGAGAGTATGTGGCCTCTAGCCACCATCCAAGTTGTGTCTCACTCTTAGATCCCCATGCTAATTGACAGGCACAAGTCTCAACTGTTTTTTTGGAAAGTGAATTTATTAATCAAGACCATTTTTAGAAAGGTGAAACAAATAAATAAAACGAAACAATGTGCATAGTAGTAATTGTTTACTGCAATAGAACTTCAAAATCTGTTTGAAAGTAGATTTTTAGTTGTAGATTGGAAGTTTTTTGCTGGTCATCTGCAACAAGTAGTTTACTTGATATTTAATCCAGGATAAAGTCTGTAGCCTTAGAAGGCTAAAAAAATCTGAAACTTGTGTCATGCCTAATACCATCCTTCTATGTTTTCCACATAACAAATAGTGGTTTCAACCTATAATACACTTGTAATCAGAGAAACAGATTTGAGGGGTGGAGAAGAGGAGATAGACGGACGGGCTCAGTTCTCAAGCACTATAATTCCAGTGGATGCAATCAGAGATTTACACCATCCTGATTGCAATGCTCCCATTACAGCTTGCTAGATGAAGACCTGGGAAGCTGCATCTCTGATTATGTTCTGGTAGTCTTGTTATTGCCTTTTATCACTGCTGCAGATTTTGCTTCATTACAGTTGCTGTGATTTTTATTCCGTTGTGTTTTACCATTCTGAAGTGGGAGAAGGGAGGAATACAGATCTTAATAAATAGAATAGCGATCATACATTTAAGAAATTGTATCATAGATTGTGGACATGACATCGAAGTAAATCAGCCAAAGAAACCAATGGAATATAGATCAGAATGATTTTGATGGTAACATCCGCATAACAGAACTTTGCAGGTCTGAACTCTCATTATTGTATGAACTAAGAGGCCTGTCTAAGTTGTTTACTCAAATCAATTCTCGAAATGGTCTCAAGCCATGCTCACTGGCTGTTCCCTTGGTAACAATTCTTCCTGTCCTTCAAAGCCATCCCTTTGTCCTTTTTGCTGTTGACCAAATTCTGTCTGATTTTAGGAAAAGTAAACAATGTGGGCATTCAGAATCTTAATTGAGCCTTTCTTCCTTATTTCATTCTGCTTAAAGAATTGCTGTAGTTAAAATTGGGAAGATTTAAGAAATCCATGGAAACCAGACTAATAGATGTGGCGTGCAAACTGTGTCTCCTCTGAATTCCAGAGTGTAATTCGCATTCACGTGCTGGAAGCGGAGAACCTAATCGCCAAGGATAATTTCATGGGTGGGATGATTAAGGGCAAGTCAGACCCTTATGTCAAGGTGCGCTTGGGAGGCCAGAAGTTTCGCAGCAGAGTCATCAAGGAAGATCTCAACCCTCGCTGGAGCGAGATCTATGAGGTGAGGATTCTCCCCATCTCCTTCCATGCATATATCAAAACTGTATCCTCCTCAGCCTCTTATCATTGATTCCTCAAAGACTTGGATTTGATGGGGAAATATAATCATACTATTTTTAGGACTATCTATCTGTACTGTATCTGACCTTGTAACTGAGCTATCTGGGCAATAGAAAGTAGAGAAAAGATTCTGACATTGAATATCGGTCAAGTCTGATTTCTGAAACATACCATGCCCGAAATACCTATCTCAGCAATCAAATATTAAAGGAGTCTGTATTTCTGGTTCAATGTTCATTGTATTTAGAACAAATCCAAACAGAACAAGGTTGCCAATGTCTCTCCTTGCTTTTAATAGTCTATATGACTTATTAATTTAGTTGGTTCTTTAGTCTGTCATATTCCCTTTCCATTACACATTCTTTTTATAAATACTAAATTAATACAAGTTTTAACACTAAAGAAAAAAAAAACAAGTATAGGTTTCCCCCTTTTACTGCTTTGAGTGTGACACCTCAATGGTTAAAATATACCTTTATTCCCTCATCTTGATTCCCAATAAACCATTATTTTTAAGAAGTTACAATAATAATCATTACATCTTTTCATTTGGATTCCAGAGCATATTTCCCCCCCTTAATTTTTAATAAGAGTTATCAATATCTATATTACCCTATTTTCTAAATATTTTTAATTGCAGAAATATTCTTATTACCCCTTGTCACCCTGCAGAATCCCCTTTTTAATTCATCAACCATTATCTCTGAAAAAACAATTTCTTTTCAACATTTTACTATTTCTGTATTTCTTTATTTCATGCGCCTGTTTCTTACTGCTTCTCCTCCCCCTCTTTTCCCCATATCTTTTCTCATTCCAGTTGATATCCCTCTCTCTTAATATCTTCCTTTCCCCTTTTCTGCTGGGTCTTTCTGTCTTTCCCAACTTCACAGGTATTCTCCCTTTTGATTGCCTTCATAAATCTCAACTTTTTAACCTTCCTTCTTTCCCCACTTCTTTGTAGTGTTCTTTGTGTTAATTGTCTATTTAAGATGTCTTCTCCTTGAATCGACTCCTCCTTCTCTGAAGCTCTTTCTTCTTGTTCTTCAATCGCCATTTCCATTTTTTCTAACACAGAGCAAAGTGATTTGCCTCTTTCCTGTAGTAATTCTCTCATATTTTTAAGTTCCATTTTTAATTCCCGAAGAGATATCATCATTACCCACTCTTGCATTTTATGATCGTTAAAGTCCACAAAAAAACCACTTTTACTTTCCTTCTTTCTTCTTTCAGTTTTCTAAAGTTCTCAATTCTTCCAGCCCAGGGTCTATACCAAAAACATCAATCAATCCCACAGTCAGCCTTTCCTTGCTTTTTTGTTTATTCTAGTTCTGCTTTCACTTTCTAAGATTCTTATTTTGTTTCAATATTTCTTTAATATTATATCCACACAAGTTCATTCAGAAACAGGATGCTTTCCCTTGTTTGAGCTCAAGTTTTTGTCAAAAGGTGGCACTTTCCATTATCTTTTCCTTTTTCCCCTACTTTTTTATTTTTTATTTATTTTATTTTTATTTATTTTTTATAACAGCTTTTATAACAAAGTGATAGGTCATATAGCATAGATCATAGTTATAATCATTAATCATAAAATACAACAAAGTGATAAATCATAGATACCAAAAGAAGGTAGTAGGAAAGATGAGAAAATGAGAAAGGGATGTTTCTTTCTTTTTTTTTTTTACCAGATAGATATGGTATGTCTAACCATTTAATTGACTAAATGAATGACTGAATCTCAACCCTTTCCAAAGAAGTAGGGCCAATTTCCAGAACAGGAGGTTCTACCTCCTAGCTTTTTCATTATTGGCTTAATACACTGAATCATTCCAGAGTCAGAGCAAATCTTGGCTTTCACTCCTATTTCATTAAAGACTCCTACTTTGATCAGTGCTACTGTTTTGTGTTCTTCTGCTTTTTCTTCCAGGTCATTGTGAGTAACATCCCAGGACAGGAAGTAGAGTTTGACTTGTACGATAAAGATGTCGACAAAGATGATTTCCTGGGGAAGTAAGTTTAGAGCCAGGAAAAAAAAGTTGGACCCAAAAAAAGAGGTCACTGCTCCCTCATTCTGAATAGGAAGCCAAAGAAGGCACTTAGATATCCCAGATTCTGCATGGAATAGAAGAGGGATTATTATATCTCCCTATTCCTTTCCTAAAGATTAAATCTCACAGCCAGATTTGTCTACTCTTTTTTGGTGTGGGGGGGGGGCAGAGAAAGTTAGTTCTGAGGAGTTGGGTCTCTCACTGAGCTCCCGGTAAGGTTACTTTTGATAAGGAGAAAGTAGAAGGAAGGAAGACCCTTCTTTAATGCTGTGACTCTTGTAACTTTCCCTTTCCCCCAGGTGCAAGATCCCACTGAAGCGTGTGCTAAGCAGCAAGTTTATGGATGAGGTAAAATTGCATTTGGAAGCAGATAAGGAATTGGACTAGGACTGAGAAGACCCGGGTTCACGTCTACCCTTAGATTTGGGGCCACTTGCTGTACTTCAGGCCAATTTGCCTTGCAAGGATGTTCTTGTCTACATAAAAGGAAGGAAGATTCCCATGGGAATCACCTTGCGGTCTTAAAGCAGGGGTGTCAAACTCAAAGCCCATGGGCTGGGGTGCTTAGATCGGGCCTGTAGGGCTGCCCTGGAAACAGTGAAGGGTCAGCCTGCAGTGCCTCTGCCAGTGAAAATGGAGCTTGCGTGGGGCCCTCCCAAAGCTCCATTTTGGGCTGTGACAGCTTCCTGCAACCTCTGCCAGCAAAAACGGAGTTAGGGAGGGCCGTGCCACCACAGGCACCCCCAACATGAGTGATGTAGAGCTGGCCACACGCACCCTGACCACGCCCACCCAGCCCCTGAAATCAAACACAACTCTGATGCATCCCTCAATGAGTTTGACACCCTTGTCTTAAAGGAAGTGTATAAATCTGACCAAGAACTAAATAAAAGGAAACGCTCTTAGTGGCAGTGGGGAGGGAGAGTTGAGACATGCTGATCAGCCACCAAACAGTCTTACCTCCTTCCTATTGCAGTGGCTCCCCCTAGAAGACGTGAAATCAGGACGCCTCCACGTGAAACTGGAGTGCCTGCCTCCTATACCCAGTGCCGCAGAGCTGGAACAGGTAATGGAGACTTTCAGGAAGGAGAATGCCGTGTAGGGTTGACTGGAATTGGGAGGTGGGGAAGAAAGTTCTTTGTTTTTAAAGAGGTTAAACTATTCAGACGCAATAACAACAGCAATGCCATTTCTACCATTTATGGTTCTTTCTTAGATTTTCTTATCTAGGAAAACAAATCAGCATGTTGTGAAAGATTTTTGTTTATATTTTCTCTTCTTCGTTTGATGGGTTATGAAAAGCTTGGTGAAAACCAGAATCAAAGATGGTTTGTATCTGAACACCTTCACAGGGAGTCAACAAAACTGTCTTCTTCTTTGGCTTTGCCTGTTTTGCCATAACTGTGATCAAAGCCAGACCTGTTGCTCAGACAGCTGAGGGACGCTGAGCTGCGAGAGGGATTGAGGGTAACCCGCAGGCCCTAAATTCTGAAGTTGGGAGGAAGTGTTCTCATGGTCACCTCCCTGGCTTTGATGATGGTGAAGTCGGGCAATCATTTAGCAACTGATCATCATCTCAGTTTTTCCTGCGGGCAGCATGTTCTCTTGCATATGAAAAGGCCTATTTTTGTGACGAGCCATTGCATGATGTGGGTTACCAAGGTGTTGTATAACAATTGTTGCTTTGAAAGAAACACATGGAAGCAATAAGCCTATCCCTTGATTTTCTTACAAAATGTCCTCTAATGGTGGGTGGTAAAATACTTAAATGTTGTCCTAACTGTTGATCACCTCTTCCAGGTTCTGAGAGTAAACAGCTTGATCCAGACCCCAAAGAGTGAAGAACTATCATCTGCTGTCCTCTCTGTCTTCCTTGACAGAGCAACTGAATTGCCAGTGAGTACCAGGAAAATGTTTCTCTTAGTTCTAGGAGTGGCTGTTGCAGCTAAAATAATCCATGACTAGAAACTCAGCTGCTGATGTCATCTGAGCAACACTAGCAGAAACTAGTTTGGAACACTGTTTTTCAGGGACCAGGAAAACTTGAATCTGGAGCCCACTCAGCCATTGATTCAGAGCCCAGCTAATCCAGAGATTAGCCCTGTTCCAAACAGCAAAGACATCTAGTTTTTGGTAGCTGAACTGGAACATACTAGGAAGGATGAATGAAGTCTGGTCCTTTCCCCATTTGATCGATTTGTGTTTGGGGGGTGTTCACTTGGTTTAATCTAGTCAATCTTGTGCCCTATGGTATACGGGTAGTCTTTGAGTTAAGACTGTAAATGAGCCTGGAATTACAGTCATAAGTTGTGCCAGTTGTTGAACAGGTACACTATGTGACTGCGCCTGATTTTATGAGCTTTAGTGTGACCTTATCTAAGCAAGCAGTTGATCCCCAAAAGCTAAACAGGTTCAGATCTGCTTAATGGTTACAGGAACTGGGCTTGGCTAGTCTAGTAAAGAAAAGGACCAGGGAAGACATGATAGCGGTCTTCCGATATTTGAGGGGCTGCCACAGGGAGGAAGGGGTCAAGCTATTTTTTAAAGCGCCTGTAGGCCAGACAAGGAATAATGGATGGAAACTGAACAAGGAGAGATTTAACCTGGAAATAAGGAGAAACTTTCTGACAGTGAGAACAATCAACCAATGGAACAGCTTGCCCTCAGAAGTTGTGGGACCACCATCACTTGAGACCTTCAAAAAGAGATTGGACTGCCATCTGTCAGAAATGGTGTAGGGTCTCCTGCTTAGACAGGGGGTTGGACTAGATGACCTACAAGGTCCCTTCCAACTCTGATTATCTGTTAATCTGTTAAAACTGTTAGTCCTTGGATGGGAGACTGCCAGGAAATTCCTAGACTGGGAAGTTTTAGACCTCCTAGAAGAGGGTACTGGCAAGCCATTTCAAACTGAAAACTGTATGGAAGTGTCCATGATTTCACTAGGAGTCTTTGTAATGGGGCATCCTGTGAATATCCTTAATAGCAGAATATCAATCACTTTCTCTTCCCATTTTTGCCAGCTCCGGAAGGGATCGAAGCCACCCAGTCCTTATGTCAGCCTGTCTGTGCGTGGTATCTCCTATAAGACGAAGGTAATGACAATGGGAAGAAGGAAACAATAATGCTGAAAGTGGGTGGTAAATCATGGCTTTAAGAATATACATCCAGGGTCTCCTTTGAGATTTTTAGTGTAATGTTGATTGAACAGTGGTGGATTTAAAACAGAAGCCAAGCAGCATGCATGTGCTTTTAGAGGTAACAAATGAGATGCTATTATTCAGCCTAGGAATTTATGATCACTTTCAGAAGCAGTCTGGTGTGTTCTTTCATTTTCATTTTTCGCCCACTCTTCCCTCATTTTTCCTTCCAGCAACTAGTTCAGAGGAGGGGGACATATTGCAGTTAGCAGGCAATTGCTAATTTACTACTTTCATTAGGAAACTCTCAGTGATTTTTTGCCACTCTTTCTTTTGAGAGGACTAAGAAATATGGTGAGGTGAAGGCAGAATGGGGGAAAAGAGGAAGCTGCAATATGAGGGGGTTTGTGGCAAAGCCAGGGTTTGTGCATACAAACAGATGTGCAAACACACACACACACACACACACACACACACATTTTCCTATATAAAGATTTCCTATGTAACTTGGAGGAGAATGTTTTCTAGCGATAGAGCCACAAAAGATTGGATCGCTCTCTCTCAGCTTCCATATTAAATATGCAAAGCAATTGATTGTTGGTTACAAAATAAATAAAACAAGGGCTGACTCAAATTGGTTATCATAAATGTGTGTGTGTGTGTGTATGTGTGTGTGTGTGTGTTTTAAATGCAGTGTGAAGGCAGAAGAACAAATGATGGGTGAGGAAAGGGAATGGCCAAAACTCCAGATTTTACAATAGGGATTGGGACTTACTACCAGGGAACGATTGCAGAAGGAGACTTTTTTAAAAAGAAATATTTGGAAACTCCCCTATGCAATTGATATTTTTTAATTAAGGACTGAGGGATTTTTATATAAACAGATTACTTAACCATGAAAGAAAAGTATTATATAAAAGAGAAAAACAGCTCTGTCTACCTCTTAAGGCAGACATATTCTGGAATATTGCCATAGATCAGTCTTGATTATCTGTCCACGCTTCACTGAGTTATAACTGACTTCCTTTTCTTTTGATTGGATGTCCTATTCCGTGCAAGTTCTTAAGCCATCATGTAGCAAATGCTATCTTTCTCTTCTGTTGTATTTTTTAAATGTAAGGCTTGTTTGTGCCTTTAGGTCTGCCCTCAGACAGCAGAGCCTGTGTGGGATGAAGCGTTCTCCTTCCTTATCAAGAGGCCCCATGCAGAATCTTTAGAGTTGCAGGTAGGTGTCCCGGGCACTTCTTCCTCACAAATACCCTCTTCTGCTTTGCCATCCACACGTGCCAGAACCAAAACAGTGGAACTCAGTTTACTGGATTATCCTACTGAAAAGAACTTTTGGGTCCCTTAATTTGATAGTGGGAATTGAAATTTCAAACATGGAAACCAAGTTTTTCAAGCAATATGATTGTGGCATTCCACCTGCCACAACAACAGGTGGAATATATTCTGAATATACTTCTATTATAGGTGGGAGAATTGGCAAGTGAGTTCTCTTAGCCTTTGTTAACTTCCTGGTAGCTTTAAGGGCAATCAGAATATAATTTTTATCAGTGGCATGCCTCAAATTCTTAACATGTGGCTTGGCTACTATATTAAGAAAATTTTTAAAAATATTTTTTTTCTGTGAAAAAAGGACACTAATGAAAGTAAAAATTTTTAGAGTGCAGAAACTGAATAGCTAAAGTTGAGCTAGCTAGTACATGTGGTTTATTTATAGGCATTTTGAATAAATGGAAAAAATGATATATAGCCGTGCTATCCTTTATGGTCTTTGGGAAGGTTAGAGCGCATAATAGTTTGGATTTGCAGGGTTATTGCCACTTTAAGAAGCTGTCTATATAAAGGCGGCCATGAGAGGGTGTATCTCTCTCTCCTCGTGTTCTATCTCTATTGTAGTTCTCCATGTAGAGTAATGAAGACTGATAGCTTGCCTGGTATGTGCCTAACACGTATATATATGTATGTGTCTTGTATATAAATCACTGTTAAACGACAAAGTCTCTGTGTGCTGTGTTGTGCTCCAGGGTTGTCTCACAATAGAAGTCACGCTGCAAACACTCTGTCGGTTTCCCATGAGGCTCCTTGGGAAAATTAATTGTCCACCTGGTATAGACGGTTATTTGCCATCTGTTTTTTATTTCTACTTCAAAGATCAAGGATGATGGGCACAGCCTGGGTGTGCTGTCGCTCCCACTGTCACAACTGCTAGCTGCAGAAGAGCTCGTCCTCGACCACTGGTTCCAACTCAGCAACTCTGGTCCTTCTAGCCAGATTTTGATGCGAGTGCAGCTTGGGGTAAGTAGCTGTGATGGTGTGCCTTGAGAGGCAGGAGGAAGACTTGTGGCAACGGTTTGATAAGAGGCAGCTCAGTCTGCGTATGGGAGGAAAGTGTGAGAAACATTTAGAAAGGACCTTCCTTAGTTTTCTAGAGACTAAAAAGAGAGGAGGGTGTGAATGCTTTAAATCTTGCAAGTTTCTGTTAAATGTTAACCATACATTTAACCGTGGTAGTGCAGTGGTTAGAATGCAGTGTTGCAGGCTAACTCACCGCCAGGAGTTTGATTCTGACAGGCTCAAGGTTGACTCAGCCTTCCATCCTTCCAAGGTTGGTAAAATGAGGACCCAGATTGTTGAGGGCAGATTGTTGAATATGTATGCTGACTCTGTAAACCGCTTAGAGAGGCCTATAGAGCGCTATGAAGCAGGATATAAGTCTTAAGTGCTATTGCTAAGTACTACAATAATGATAATGCTGAGGCCCCCAATTGTCCTTCTTGCTTGGACTACCTCAAAGGGGTTGGGGAATGGGGTTGTATGAAGAAGCCAGTCAGAGCAGGCTCTAAGCCCCTTGCTCTCAATTCCCCAGCTTCTGGTTTCTCAGCACTCGGGGGTGGAGGCTTTCCATGCTGCAGCAGGGGACGAATATGAGGAGAATTCCCAGAAGGGATCAGAGACTGAGCTGTATATCAGAGAGGATGGAGACTCTGGCTCTTTGCAAGAGCTGCGCCAGCGGATCCCCCACACCAACAGGTAAGGAGAACTCCTTGTATAGAATACAGACTCCATGCAGGTGGGTGAGGAGATTCCTCTTTGGGCTGAGGGTTCCATGGTCTTTTCTTGCACAAATCCAAGTATTCTGGATCTGAAGAAATCCTCTTCTTCTCTCAAGATAATTTCTGGAGAGACTGCTGTACTAGTTTACTGCCGCTCTAAATAAATGAAGCATACACTACTCTAGGTTACCATCCAGTTCATCAAATGCTAGAAACGTCAGGAAACCAGCAAAATATGTGTGTGTGTGTGTGTGTGTGTGTGTGTGTATGCACAAAACACACACACACACGCGCATTCCCTGGCTTGTTACTGTAAGAAATTGATAGCTCCTAAGCCAGATGTTGCACAAAGTCCCTTCTTGCACACCCAAACAAATACACACTATCCCTGGCTTCTCCCCACAATTACCACATGGTGGCGCAGTGGTTAGAATGCAGTATTGCAGGATAATTCTGCCGACTGCCAGCATTTCGATTCTCACCAGGCTCAAGGTTGACTCAGCCTTCCGTCCTTCCAAGGTCGGTGAAATGAAGATTCAGATTGTTGGGGCAAAATGCTGAGACTCTGTAAACTGCTTAGAGAGGGCTGCAAAGCATTATGAAGCGGTATATAAGTCTATGTGCTATTGCTATTTCTACTTTAAGAAATCTACACTCCCTAAGCAAGAGGTTGGTTTGTGGGCATCTTTGGGCATCTGTAGATGTACCTCTTACCCCTTTCTCCGAGCCTCTGAATCAGCCTTCAGGAGCAAAAAGGCTGCCCCGCTGTCAAATCAATGCTGAGTGTGATAGCCTGAAAATGTAATTCCTCCCTTGAAATTCTGTTTTTCCCCTTTTTCACCTGATTTTTCAGTCCTAAGTGTCCTAAGTGTCTTTTCGTGCCTCTGACTGCTGTGTCCTCAGAGAAGACTTCTGTGATGTTGCGCCAATCTCCCCTGAGGAAACTCTTTAGTGGGGAGGGGAAATTGAAAGCTGACCTCCGTGAAGTCCAGTCAGGGTCAACAACCTAAGACACAGAAGGCAGTGCACTGTAGGCTTTTGAATAACCTCTTGTTAATGCAGATCGGTTGAGTGGAGCTTTTTACCAGAAAGGGAGAGACAACGCTTGCTGTTTATGTACGTAATAATTTGATGCTTTAAAAGGTGAGCTCTCTTCTGCTGTTTTGTCTTGCAGCACATTGCTCAGCTGGGCTTTGGGAATTCCAGCAAGTTTACTCCTCCCCCTGCAGTCCTCAGAGTTGCAGAAAACATTCCGGCTTTTGCTTTCAGCCCTCCTCATAGCTGCCTTACATAGGCCGCCACTGCGACCTGCCACCATTCTCATCGCCGATGCAGTTTGCTGCCTCAGTTCCACATTTCTCTTGCCACGTGGAGAACAAACTCTCCTGCCTTTGTGCCCCACCTCCCATCCTATTGGTTCCGATCTTTCAAATGGCATCTTCCCATCCATTTCTCGGCGTTCCTTATGGTTGCCTTATTTTTCTGCATGTGCTACTAAGGGGTGTAGAAATACTCCCCCTTTTCCTCAAACCAGACCCAAGGCGTTTTTGAGTTTCTGTAATATTGCTCTCTGCCCTTGTGTCTTTCTGCCCTGCAGTAATTTGGAGCTAGCAGACGCGCCTCTGGGACAGCTGCACATGACTGTCTGGTACAACATGGATGCAAGGAAACTTGTCGTGATCATACATGCCTGCAGGTAATAATAACCGTAGGATGGATTTGTTTGGGGAAAGGAGAAACAAAAAGTGCATTTGGTATGAACCTCCAGAATGATTGCTTAGATTTTTTTCCCCCCCTGTAGCTACAGAACATGGAGATCATTCTAAGCCAAGGGTGTCAAACTCAAGGGTGCTTAAATGTGGCCTGCGGGGCCGGCCTGGAAATAGCAAAGGACTGGCCCACAGTGCCTCTGGCAGCCAAAACGGGGGGCGGGGGGACGACGCCTGGCCCCCTGCAGCACTCTGCTGGCCAAAATGGGGCATGGGGGCTATGTGAAGCCCCCACTCCCCATTTTGGCTGGCAGGTTGTTGCAGGAGGCTGTCCAGACTAAAAACAGGGTGTGGGGGGACCTTGCACAGCCCCTCCGTGCCCCGTTTTGGCCGGCAGGGTGCTGCAGGAGGCTGTCTAGGCTGAAAATGGAGGGGGAACAGGGGGAAATGGAAAAAGGAGGGTGGGGAAATGGAAGGATGGATTTCTTTGCAGTCATCTGGTCCTTAGCACTCTCCCTGAGAGCTCTTGAGGCCACTGAGAGGTTCATCTTTGTCCTCAGGCTCTCCTGAATCAGAGTACAATAGGTTGTGGGATCTTCTTGGAACTTCCGCCCTGCAAGGGCTGTGTTGTAGGCTGAGGATAGGTGATGTCTTATCCCTCCCTCTCTGTTGAGAGAGGGCTGCTCAATGTTAGCATGAATGACCTCTTTTACTCCTCTTTCAAACCAATGATCCTCTCTATCCCTAATGTGGACTTTGCCATCTTCAAAAGAGTACCAGTGGATGTCTAGTACTTTCCACCAACAGATTCTATAAGAACATTATAAAATAATAACTAAGTCCTACTGAATGCAGATTATTACATCTGAGGTGATTCTGAGGACAATACAGAGAGGCCTAGCTGGCTTTACAGTGCGCTGTGGAAGAACGCTTGTGTATGAATATTGTGGTGGGCCGCCATCCTCTCAGAAGAGGTGGCTTATGTCTTGTTTTTTAAACAAATGATGAAAAAATAGGACAAATCGATGGATGAGGAGCGAAGGGGCTTGTTTTATTAAATAAATTGGTTTCCTCTTGTTTGAGTAATTGGTTCTCTCTACCAAACTTACCTTAAAATGATTCCAAGCTACATGCCAAAATTGTGGAAACTTTTTAGGAAAAGTATATTTTTAAGGTTTGATGGCTAATAACACCATTCTTTTTTTTTTTTTTGGAGTAGTGCCATAAAATTATATTAAAATTTTATAAAATTATACACTTTTCCCAAAAGATTTCCACAATTTTGGCCACTACTGTATTTACCTTCTAAACCAGAAGTCCCCAACCTTTCCAGCTCAGTGGACTGGAGGAAACAGGAGAGGCGGGGTGGAGGGGGAAATGGTTTTGTGCCCATGCCTCTTTCACAAATGCAGCTTCGCGCGTGCTCACCCACCACTTCCGTGGCCCAGTTTCTGAATGGGTTGCAGCCCAGCACCGGGCCGTGGGCCAGAGGTTGGAGCCCCCTGTTCTAAACCATTTAGATAGATTCTTTCCTTTTTAAAGAGCCATCTCCTTTGACCCCATTCCAGAAACCTCAAGTCAAACGGCAGGGATGCTCCTGATTCCTACGTCTCTTTGATCCTGCTGCCGGACAAATCTCGTGTTACCAAGAAAAAGACTACTGTACGGAAGAAAACTGTGAATCCCGAGTTCAATGAGAAGTAAGGGAGAAATCAGCAATATGGGAGTAGAGGCATGTTTGTAAAGGTTACCTTTGATACTGGAAGGATATAGTAGGGATCTGGGAACCTCACTGACATAAACCGATCCCTCTGATCCATTTGCCCATTTTTAATTAGGGCAACATTTGCCATTCCTCGTACTTTTAAAAGTGTTCATACGCTGATGGAGTGTATGTATGTAAACCATGATTGCAATATGAATTTACATTGGATTACTTCGTGCAAAATAAATGTCACTCAGGGTTTCTGCTCTTCAAGTTACTGATAGAAATTAGATGCCATCAGAATACAGGGAAATGCACTCTGATGCAACAGTTCTGGTGATTGAAAGGTAACTATTAAAGGTAAATTTTGTTAAATGACCCTGGCACTTATCCTTTTATTTCATTCATTATACCTTTAAGCCATCCAACAGGTACCTAGGATCATTAAGGATTTTTTTTTAATTGGTTTTTAAGATGAACATAGACAAACAAAACATAAAAACATCAAGCCATCTTCCATATATATACATACAGTGTGCCGGTTGGTTTACAAATTGTTTTGTGCTTCCATTTCGTAGTCTTCAATTACAATTACATTGTATATATTCTCATATTTTCAATCAAGTATTAAATACATTAATATCATTGTTAATCAATCATTTGACTATAGTTTTATTCATTCATGTTTTACAAATAATCATATTTTACTTAAATTGTTTTGTGACAGTTCATATTATCATCTCAAATCTATCCTACAATCATTTTGTAGATGTAATAAGAAAATTATATATATATATATATATATATATATATATATATCATTAAGGATTTTTAAAGGCCAGAATGTGATGGGCAATATGCTGACTCTGTAAGCCGCTTAGAGATGGCTGTAAAGTACTGTGAAGCGGTATATAAGTCTTAACTGCTATTGCAACTACAGAAAAGCAGTAACTGCCCATTCAATGCATTGTGTCTTGTAACAGGTTTGAATGGGATCTCTCTCTGGAAGAAGCCCAGCGGAAGAAGCTGGAGGCCTACGTTAAAAACAGTGTCTCTTTTATGTCCCGAGGAGAGCCAATTGGAAAGGTATGGAATGGAGCCGCTGTTGTGCGTGTCCCTTTAATAGCAGTGGAACTTCTTCCAGGAGAATCCCCAGGCGCGTGACTTTTTCCCTCTTCGTTTCTCTTCCAGATACACATTGACCTCTCCCAAGAAGATCTCACGCAAGGTGCTGCCCAGTGGTAAGTATGGGAGAAGAACAACCTTGAATAAATGCCAACACAATTCCATATCCCTTATTGGATCTAAGATCAGTGACCTGGCAGAAAACCAGTCTTGTAAGAGCTGCATGGTTTGGGAGGGTTTTGGTTTTCCTCACGTGTGTCAGCTTTGAAATGGGCTTCTCGGGAGCAGGGCTGAATTTTTGGGAGCTCATTTTATTGTGCCGAGCCTTATGAACAAACGTCCACCCTAAAAGCTACAGTGATGGAGTCTCATTCTGTAACAACCCAGCCTTGAAGAGTTACATTCTCTAAGCAGCCATCTGTTGAGAGTTGTAAGATTGAAGCAAATGTCTAGTAGTTCATCCAGGTCATGGCTCTCCCCAGAGGTGCTTTTTTTTTTAAACAGCAAGCGGACTTTCTCGATTTTTCTTGAAGGCCTTTCACTTCTCATCCAAGACGCTTCTTCAGTTCTAACTAAGTGATGGGAAATAGGAAGGATTTATATGCTTTGCAGTCAGCCAATTGTTAACACTCTGAGGGGCCTTTAAGCCACCTGGGGGTTATAATCTATGTCCTCAGGTGGCTTATGTCTTCCCAATGACCCTCAGAATGTTAACGATCAGCTGACTGCAAAATGTATAAATCCTTTCCATCCCCCACCAGAATGGAAGAAGCTTCTTGGATGAGAAGTGAAATGACTTCAAAAAAAAAATCAAGAAAGTCCAGTTGCCTTTTTTTTTTTTAAGCACACTGGGACAAGATTGAAGCAACTGCTAAGAACGGGTCATCCTTTCTCTCCCCCACCTCCTATTCTCTAAGACCTTAATGCTACAGGGGAAGTGATATTAAGCAGAAGAACTTCAATTAAGCCTGGTCCGAAGATATGTTCACAGGGTGTGATCCGGGGAAAATCTTGCCCTGAAATGGAACTGGAGAATAGATAGGAAAGTATTTTGTGGATCCTCTGCGGAGGATGCATGCATCAGAGACATATCCAAAAGGAATTTGATTATTATTATTTTCGGCGACTCACATCCTGAGCTATTTTCCAGAGTTTTCCTCTTTCTCCTCTCAACAACTTGATTCCCATCCATTCCACTATGAATGGGCTCTTTAGATAAAATTGTTTCCCACATGCCAAGGCCAAGCTGGGCATTCTTGTTCCTTCTTAATCTTTTGTCAGTCACGATAAGAATAAACGTTGCGCTGAACCAGACCAAAGACTTGTCCAGTCTGGTCTTTCATTCCCATCATGTATGTGTGGGAAGGCCACAAGTGGAACCTAAAGCTACTTTTGGTCCAGTAGTTTTGAAGTAACTTTAAGTAGATCTAGCAAATCTAACACCAGCTAAAACAATACTGAAATTCATATTAAATCTGAATTCCGTGAACAGAGCAAAATAAACTCCACTTCATTCTTTAGCATAATACCCACCTGCAGTATCCAAAAGCAGGATCTGTCCTGGAACTGCAGGGAATGTAGCTGAGGAAATGATTGGCAGTCAGCCTACTTATCAACATTCAATAACATTACATGCTGGTGGCTGTGGTGTCAAGAAGGAAGTGTCAGAAAGTAAAGCTGACAGTTGCAGCAGATTGATTGAAGCCCATCTTTTTTGTAAATGTGTCAATGTTACCATGCCATGACAGCCATTTTGTTTTGTTTTTTGACCCTGCTGCAGAAGATGCCAGTGGTAGGAAAGGCCCTCCTTGCCAAGTAGGGAATATTGAAAAAGTAGGGCTATTTTGAGCATCCTTTCCTATAAGAAGGGCAAGAGAAATGTAAAATATGGACATACAGTTTCAAAGAAAGGGAGACGAGCTGTAGGGATAGCAACATCATATATGAAGCTTTCCTAAGTACCAAGATTTCATCTTGCTTCCCTTGCCTCCAACCAAAGAGATAACAGATCACTAGAGGTAGTCCTTACCTTATGACCATAATGGAGCCTGCCCATTTTTTAATTTTATTTTTTGCCTTTTAATGACCCCGTAATCCCTTTCGGAGTGAAGTCAGGGCAACTGAATGGAGCTGAGTGTTTACTGGCCAGGTGCCTTTCCTGTCGCTAATGCAGAGTTCGCAGCTGATATTTACTCAATGTGCCCAGGGAGAGAAATACCTGCTATTACCTAGGATCGAACTCACAGCCTCCTGATTGTGAGGCGAGAACTCCACCTCTAGGCCACTGCATAATGGAGCCTGCCCACCAGAGTCATAAATCATGAACCTTGTAAAGTGGGTTGGTCATGTCATCGACCCTGATTTTACAACCTTTTTGTGGTGGTAATTAACTCATCGTTGGTTATGGGCTGGTTTTGCCAAAACACAAATAAAAAAGCAATAGCAATAGACTTAGACTTATATACCGCTTCACAGTGCTTTTACAGTCCTCTCTAAGCGGTTTACAGAGTCAGCCTATTGCCCCCCCAGCAATTTGGGTCCTCATTTTACCCACCTCGGAAGGATGGAAGGCTGAGTCAACCTGGAGCCTAGTGGGATTCAAACTGCCACATTGTAGGCAGCTGGCTGCAGAAGTAGCTTGCAGTACTGCACTCTAACCACTGCGCCACAGGGGCTCCATGCCAGTTTTGGGCAAAAAAACATTGCAAAATGCAGTCACATGACCGCTGGATGCCCCAAGCAGGCCTAAATGCAGCCCCAGTTCCAAGTCTCCAAAGTGCAGTTGTGTGACTCTGTGTGTGAGACTGTGACTTCAGAACTTTGAATCCAGGTCATACGTACCACCCAAGTAGGGCTGTTGAAACTTTCAATGGTTGCTAAGTGACAGATTGTAAGCTGAGGATTACCCATACATAAGAATGTGGGAGAACGAGAAGCAGAGATTCTGCTTTCCCCGGGCAACTTGGTTGACAACTTGAGATGGCTTTCTTGGGATTTTTATTTTTTCCCTCTCTCTCCCAAAGATCAGAAAAGGCTTTGCTTATCTTGCAGGTACGATTTAAAAGATGACAAAAGCAGCTCCTAGTTTCCATAGTGCCTCCACGATCCAAGGACTTGAGTTGGCATGAAGACCCCTTACCACCACCACTGCTGCCGCCATCCTTCACTGCAAGATTCCAGGCTCATCTTCCGCTGGATGGGCTTTTTCAGTGTTGTTTGCTTTCTCAAGCAATCGTAGAATTGTGTTTCTTAAATCTTCTTTTTTCCGTGCGGAACCAATAGGGGTAGAGAAATCGCCCCTGATTGGATGTTTTTTTGAAGGGAAGATAGACACATTCTGCATTCACTTTGCATGCTTCTCTTAGCACTGAAAACCATACGCTGCCTTTCTTTTGACCAAAGAAATGGGCTCTTTTCATTTTCATATTTTTTTAAATTTTTCTCTTGGGGATGGTGTTCCTTATAGCTGTCTTGCAAGCTGTTGCTTTCAGCAGCTAAAAAGACCCAAGGGCTGCCTTAAAGTGAAATTGGGGCATTAGGTGAAAAGATACAAGACAACCTGGAGGGTCCAAGTATTTCTCCTGGAAGATAATGGGCAAATGACCTCCTTTGAAACAAAGGTTTTCAAATAGGGCCAGGGCCGTCTTCAAATAGGAGAAGGATCAGTTATTTAGCAAGGGAACATAGTGGTGATAAAGGAGATTAGGGTTCTTGTCCTAACTGTCCTAGTAAGGTTGTCAAATGCCATTTTCTGGAACAAGGGAACAAGAAAAGTGGAGAAATGCAGTGGGGAAACAATTATTATTTGCAATGTTTATATTTTTCCCACATTGGGGGAATCCATGCCTGAGCACTATGCATTTAGCTGACACTCCAAGAGGGGTATCCCATCCCATCTCTTTGCAAATCCTCATGAACTGTGATAGCAGGTGATAATCTTACCATGCCTTTCTTGTTCTTTCTGCTTCCTGAATTTTTAAAATCGAATCCGTTTGTGTTTTCTTCTCGGCTTGTCCCACTCTGTGCAGCCAATCTAAAAGGGCAGGTTGCTTTCATAGAGTTATCTTTATGGATGCCGTTGCTCTAGTTGCTGCTTTTAACATGAATGTTGTTTGGTGCCTTCTTGCATTCAGGTCTTTGATCTGGTGCTGAGAGCAAAGCTCTCCAGCTACACCAAGTTCTAGGACGGTGTGCATGCTGTAGCAAGGAAATTCTTAAATCTGTGCTCCAAAACAGATTTACAAAGCCTCTCTACCTATATACAGCGATATTTGCATGATCTGCATTTTGATGACTTCCTTTGTACAGTAAGGAGGAAGATCGGTACAGAAACTGTGAGGAGATGATGCTTCAAGGAACCACAAAAATCACAAGAAACGAGATGGCCAGAAAAGACTTGTGCTGATTTCCAAGTTATATGGCATGATTTTTCTTAACTAGCATGGATAAATTTTTAAGATTTGCTACTGGGCTTTCCACATATGTAAAACTAAAGCATTTTAACTTGTTTTTCCCCCACTGATAAATCACTGCTTGCAAAATTGCAACACTGCGCCATACAATGCCACTTTGGCAGGGGTGGCAGCTGAGTTGAATTCCTCTTTAAAATTAAATTTAAAAAAACCAACTATTTTTATCCCACTCATCCCACCAATTCTCCTCTGGTGGGGAAAATGCGTGTGCAGCCTGCTCCTGGCATGACTTAGCAGCTGCATTGGGGTTGGCTTTATAGAAGTTTGTTTTTTGTGGTCTTGTTATGAAAAGGAACGTAACCGTGTGTTATGTTTTAGAGTGAATTTTAAAAATCATAGCTCGTAGCCCTTAGAAGCCAAATCCCACTAAGATGCCTGATGGTAGAAGTTGAATTCTTCTCCTGTTCTGGGTCTTACAAGGTGGAGCTGGTGGGCGACTCTGGAAAGCAAGAAAAGATGGACTTCCCAAAACTTGGCTGTCCTATCTTGATGTTCTGTTCCACTGAGCAGATTCTCTCCCAATTACCCCCCCACACATACACACACTCCGTCAAATTCCCAATCGCTCTCCATGCATTTCTTCTATTCACACACCGTTGCCTCTCATCTCTGGGGGGGGGGGGGAAGAACCCTAAGGCCACTCTTTGTAATTTATAAATAGATTTTTAAAAATTGCTTATATCTCTTTGTACAATCATAGCGAATGTATCGGACACAACAAATACACCTCTCCACTGGATCTGGTGGTGCCGCCCCCACAGGTTTGCTGGCAGAGTCTGCCTGTTGGGGGTTGAATCACCCACTGCCTTCCATCATGCCAAACCGAGCTTGCCGTCTTCTTCAAGCAGTCTTTACCATGCAAGCGTGTTTCTGGCTCTTTGTGCCTTTCATAGCCACTGCTGTAATTTGTTGTAGCAAATAAACAAAGAGGAAAATGTGATCATGCTTCATAAGGCTTTATTTGACCCCCTCTGCCTCCAAAGGGATGGAAAGAAGGAAGCTGAGGAATTAAGACAGCATTGTGAGCCTTTCAAAACTTTCAAAACACTTTGCCAACGTTTGAACTGTTGCCTCATGTTTGGGCAACATGGTTCAAAGAAGAGGGCAAAATACATTTACAGATATTTTCATCCAATGGTTAGGTTGCTTCCTGCACTGTGTTCCTCACCTTTTATGATGTGGGTGAAGAGCCAGCTTTGGGTACAAGACAAGTACAATTTATATATGGCAAGTTGTTCCTAATACTTTTACTGTGAGTGACTGCAGCTTATGTGCCCAGCAGATTAATTGCCCTACCTTGGATTAATTACAGTAATCACTGATTACCATTCCCAATGTTTTTAAAATGGACACAAAGGCAGACCTTTCTACTATAAAAAGGCCTGTTTAGAGGCATCGTATAAGGCCCAACATCTGCATAATCCTTTCTCCCCTACTGCCACCACAGGTGGAGGTTATTCAAGGAACAGCTGAAACCTGAGCACGGGCAGGATATTGTTAGATAGCTTAAAGCCACTCTTATTGCCATTGCTCTTACTAGCCAACCCCACTGCATAACCTTTTTTAAAAAAAAATCTACAGAAAAACATTTATTGAAAAAGCTGATATTGGGAGAAGTCATCCATCTATGGCTGACATGTGCCAATTGTTCCATTTTATTGCAGAGCAACAGCTGATTGTATGGCAAAAATAGGATGGTGCTAGTCTGAAAAAAAGATACAATATTATTTAAAATTTGGCTATTGAGTTATATTGCCATTCTTCTTTTATTAATAAGGAAAGATGGCATTAAAATCATTTATTTACATTTGCATTGATGAAAAACCATTCTGAATTTCTGATATCAGAAAGTTGATATACTGGACAACATTGCTTAATGAATTACTATATTATGGTACTCCCCACTTTGATCCAAAATTAGAAAATTTAAATAATGCATGAAGTTTGAGGATCTGAATTCTAGAAGTAGGAACCCATTTTAGTTATTTAAAATTCTTACTACCCTACATCAGCTCTATCTAATTAGCTCTTTAGTGAAAAGTCTGTCTTATCTGACTAGTGTTGGACAATAAAGGTTTTGCTTTTTGGGTATATCTTGCAGATTTTTGGCTGCTAATCACAAAAATAATCTAATTTATCATGGCTAGTTTTTATAGAAATCTTCAGTTTTTACACAATGGCAGTGTACACCCTTCAGTACATGTTGGCAATGTTCATACATGAAAGAAACATGAAAACATAGAATTGCTGTTGAAGCACACCCATTACAGCAAGTACGTACAACTGGATTATCTGTGGAGCAACTGGAATCCATCAATGCTGGTTGACTAATGTTGGACACTGCAGTGAGATGCATCAGACACGGAGTATAAAAATCAGCAGTAAAATACTTTTGGCCCTGTTGAATTCATGTAGCATGTCAGAAACAGGCAAATACCTTATAGTCATTAAAAATTAATTCCATATTTCTAAATATTCCCACATGATACAGTCATTCTGAAATTATATTTGTGTTCAGTTTGAAGAGGGCTATTGTCATTGCCAAAAGTTTTTCAGGAAGCAAAACTTGTGGAAAAAAATTATTGTCCATCAGAAACTGCATGGCACACATTTCACTTCCTGAGATTGCCTGTTCACTTTCCCCTTCTCGTTAATCTTACTCATTAGTCATTTTGATACATTAATGCTCAGTTCATTGCATGACACTTGAGTACACAAGAGCTTAATGACATCATGCGCATCTTTCAGCTCTCATTACTCTGAAAACATCAGCATTCACTTCCTACCTATTCCAACATAAAGGAAATGCCTGAATGTATTTGACAGAGTTTAAAATAGTGTAATTTCTCTTGAGAACAGTATATCTATGGCTTAGCTAGCTGGAACTGCTGCAATTTCTTTGATGTATACAGATAATGCATGCATTTTGTTCTGCGGCTGGCATGATGTCAAAGCAGGTGACTTAATTCCTATTCTGTAAGGAAAGAGGATATGTGCCCTTTAACAGGAGCCCCACCCCCCAATTTCTACTTAGTAAGAACCTTGCCAGAATAATCCCCACCCCTTTCCATGTCTACCCTGAAGGTCATCTTCTCCCAAACTGGCATCCCAACACTTAGCTAGCTTGGTGTCAATACTTGGAAGCAAGTCCAGTTTCTAGTACTGAGGTCCAACCTTGAGTTCTGACCTTGAGTTCTCTGCATCTCTTCTTACTGATGGTACATCTCGCAAATAGAACAAACTCAAGAACAATCTGCAACAGTGCTACAACATGATCTCCAGATAAGAGGAGCCAGTGTTGTTGATGCTTGCTTATCAGGAGTAAGACATGGAACCATTCGTTTAGCGATGATTCAAAGTTACAACAGCAGTGAAAAAAGTGACCTATGGCCGATCCTCACACTTAAAACCATTGCAGCATCTGCAGAATCGTGATAAAAATTCAGATAGCAACAGCACTTATATACTGATCTACAGTGCTGTATAGCACTCTGAACAGTTTACAGAGTCAGCATATTGCTCCCAACAATCTGGGTCCTCATTTTACCGACTTCGGAAGGACAGAAGGCTGAGAACCTTGAACCAGCCAGGATCAAACTCCTGGCTATGAGCAGAGTTAGCCTACAATACCACATTCTAATCATTGCACCACCAGGGCTTATGTGATGACCCGGGGCGTGGCACAAAAGTAACACAGTCACATAAGCAAGAAAAGTCCCTTGAATACCTCCAACTTTGCCCCCAATGTCCAGTTACCTTCGGCTGGAGAAAAAACTCTCCCAAGAGCAGTCTTTAAGTGGAGGAAATTCAGTCCGAAAACAAAGTACATATAAACTGTAAATAAAAATCCACACAAACCACGCTGCAGCAATTAATTGGACAGGGCAGGATAAGGAATTGACGACTTCAAAGGCCAACAAAACACACACAGTTGGGAAGACACCAGATAAGCCTCGACAATAAAAGATAACTCACAATTTGCTTCCCACAAGTTGCTGTGCTCAATCTCCCTTTTTAAACACTGTGTTCCTAGCTGCAGCTAATGAAGGGAATCAGGGCCCTTTCCTCCCCATAAGCCACACAACTCATGTTGCTCTCTTCTCCGTTCCTCCATGCGTGCCCTAGGATGAAGAGGGGCTGGGCTTGGGTTTTCCAAATTCCCTCTACCTTGCTTTACCTCTCCCCTGCTCTGTCCAGCTGGACTTTGCCCTTCCCCAGTTTCTTCCACAGCCACCGGAGCCACACTCCCACTCCCTGTCAGCTGCTCAGCCTACCCCTCCAAATCAGATTCCAACAGGGGCATGACAGCTTAGATGCTTTGCAGCTGCCATGCATTTAAGATGGTTGCTGTGTCCCAGAGTCACATGATTTCCATTTGCAACCTTTTCAGCTGGTTTCCAGCAAGCAAAGACAATGGGAAAAGCCAGATTTGCTAAATGACTGCATGATTCACTTAAGAGGTGATTTGCTTAACAAACGTGGCAAAAAAAAGGCTTTAAAATTAAAACTAGGCACAGCTGACCACCTTGCTTAGCAACAGAAATTATGGTCCCAACAGTGGCCATAAGTCAAGGATGACTTGCAAATCTTGTTTGCATTAATAGCACCTATGTGAATGTATAATCCCTGCAATAACTGGTTGTATACATAGATAGGGAGCTGGTAGTTTTCCAGATGTTGCTTAATTGCAACACAGCCAATTCAGCCATCCTAACAAAGGATAGGGGATGCTATGAACAGCAGTTCAGTGACATCTGGAGAGCTAAGTTCCTGTGTAGGATGTATCATATTGAGGAAAGTGGGAATGTGCAGGAATTGACTTGTTTTTGGTTTCTAGTACATCTGCAGGGAGGCATGATGGACGTTGCCTTCCCCAGTTGCAAAACATATCTAATGGACAGCAGGTTACATTTATATATCTGTAAAAGGAAATAATCACCAGTCACTCTTCGGCTGCCTTTCATCAGACTGACAGATGTTGGCATCGCTTTCTCCCTCACCTGTCAAATGCTGCCAAGAATCCATGGAAGTCCATAACAAAATAATAATATGTTTGTTTAAGAAAAAAAAAAACTGAGGGATGTCAGCACAGGCCTAAATCTCCTTTAATAAGCGTTGTAATAGAAAGTAGTAGAGAATGTGGAAGAGGCTCTTCTGACAGGACAAGTGGGGTCATCATTAAATCCTCCGCCTAGCTCTCAGCTGTCCAGTCTTGTTAGCTTAGATGGCTGAGTGATTTGTTTGGAGCAGGCATCTGAACACTGCAAAAGTGTTCATTAGCGATTCCTTGTGACTGGGACCTAGGGCAGGCAATTCATGGCTTCATTTAACCTTGTGGTGAGTAACCTGTGACTCTAAGGCCGCGGGCCCATTTTAACACTCCTTGGGATCCTTTCCAACTATGACCACTGAAAATCTACAGCCCAGTTCCCTAGCACTGGACCGCTAAAGTCCTAAATGAAAAACAATCAAGTTACCAATAGCAGCTCCTGCTATGTAGAGGTCTTTTTTTAAAAAAACCGCAGGGAAGGAAGCCCATAAAGCTTGTGTAATGTACCTAACAAAATTTATAATTCTGCCTATTAACCATCTGAATTGATTTTCACATCTTCCAATTATGCTTAGAGTGCCATTTATATAATCCCAAATTAGCCTAACATATCTTGAAGATGCTGAAACTGGAAAGGCTACCATTACTACAAGGAGGAGGAGGAGGAGGAGGAGGAGGAGGAGGAGGAGGAGGGGGACGAACCAAGCAGGTACAGCCTTCTTTGGGCACAGAGTATAATTGAACTATGAGCAATGTGACCCCTTTCCTGAAGTGAGGATAGATCCAGAAGGACCAGATCAAAATTCAATTGAAATGTAAATTCAACAAATAAAGTATAATAAGCTCAAGGGAGCTTCCCTTTCTTTTCTTTTATTCCACAATCAGCAATC